TAGGAGCGCTGCTACCTAGCGCTGAAGCCCTCCTACGTGCTAGAGAGTCTGCTCATAGAAATGTACGTCTTTTGAGAGTTGTGTAACCTCTCCCAGATCATGATGTAGATCGTTTCATGAGCCATCAAGATCATGGTGTGCTCCCCAGCTTCCATCCCGAGATGAGCCAGAAGGTCGTTGGGCGCTGTTTTTACAGCATCGTGCGTTTTCCTGACCCTCGTGGGCCAGCGCTTCCGCTACGTGATCGGCGCGCTCAAGACATCCACCCTCGTGATCGGCAATCTGTCCAAGATGCGGAGAGGTATCTCCATGCACAACGTCACCCTATTGCCCAGCATGCTGCAGTTCCAGGTCTTATTCATGATGGAGACCCCCATCAAGATATTATTCAAGGTGAAGTGGAAGAGGGTGAAAGAGATCGGGGGGGGGGGGGAGAGGCGTCAGAGGAGCTGAACTCATGGGAAGCGACAGCAACGACCCACCTGCATAGTGCTGACCCACTTCTTCGTATTCTCATCCTGCTCTTTGATCCAGGTTGAGAATGATTGTCCTGCTATCAAGTGAGGAATGCATCTCCTGTTATGCTCTTCTCACCCTTCACTGCGATGATTGAAACAGCCTTTTCAGCATTCTTCACGAAGCAAGCGTCGAACCTCATGCTATCACTAACACATTTCTCACCTGCATCATGTCATTCCTGCTGTCCTGCAGTAAGCAGCAACAGGATATAGCAATGGGAACAGCATCCTTTCAGGACATAGCTATCGCAACAGGATACAGCAACATGATATAGCAATAGGATATAGCAACAGGATATAGCAACATGATATCGCAACACAAGCAGGTGACATGGACCTGTTCCCAAAGCAGTTGTTACCTTGAGAGTCATTCGATGACATCATGAGGCGTGCGAAGAGAGATTTCCTCGTCTGCCTCGCAGGGAAAGCTTTCCCATTCTTCTCCTCTGTCACGCTGCCGAACGTGCGCTGCTGGCGGAACAGAGGAAGGCCGAAGGCAAGCCTGTCACAGGACCGGGGAGTGGCGGATTGAACCTTCCAACCTCGCACGACGCCGGCGGGACCGGAGAAGGCCAGCAATGAGGAGGAGGAGGAGAAGGAAGAAGCCGAAGAGGATGATGCCATCAAGGGTGAGGAGGAGGAGGAGAGGATCGAGCATGAGGCCGACGCCGCCATGGAGAGCGGCAACAGAAGCGCACAGCGTCGCATTGTTCCCCGACCGCTCGTGAGGGGTGGGGTGGTAGATGAAAAAGGGTGTGTACCCTCTCGGTACTAAAAAATGTCTCTGATGGGTAGGTAGTATCAGTATCAATAAGGGGTGGTGGTAGATGTTGATTGGGTAGTACAAAGAGAGGGTGGGGTAGGGTTCACCCGACTGGCTTTAAAACCAGTGCCTGTAAAAGAGGAAAAAAACAAAAAGATTCCAGATGAGCAGCACCGGGTCAGCCAGCTAACTTTTCGACTTGAGTAAAATTGTGTTACGTCTGCCCAGGTGGGGGTAGTGGAAGGTCTCTTGTAGGGTAGGGGTGGTAAGGGGAGAAGCAGCGGGGGCCGATATGGCGGAGCGGAGCAGTGGCAGGTTAACGATGACGACGAAGAAGGCGACGATGGTGATGGTGATGACGATGGCGATCATGGGTGAAGCTCTTGCGTTCAACCTTGATGCATCCAGCATGCTGCAGCACACAGGAGCGAGAAGCATGAAGAAGGGAAGGAGGGCAATGCTTGAAAAGTTGAGGGGTAGTCCCCGCCTTGGCAGTGTAAGGATGTGCCAGGATGAAGGAAGGAGTGTGGACGAGGACAGGAAGCAGGATGCCCTCAGGAAGCTTGCTGCGGTGGATTCGAAGCCATCATTGGGGAAGAAGGATGATCCTGACAAGGACGCGGATTCCTCTGTGATCGATGGATTGATCAAGTGGTTTAAGTCGGATGAGGGGAGGGAGGAGGCGCTTCAGTGGACCATCACGTTTGTCATTGCGATATCCTTCCGTGTCTTCGTGGTCGAGCCCCGCTACATCCCCTCGCTCTCCATGTTTCCTACCTTCCATGTTGGTGAGTTGCTTGACCTGTCCTGGAAAGGGTTGTAGAGGTTGAGACAGGGAGGGGAAGGGAAAATCACACGTGTGTGGTTTCTTTACTTCTCTTCTGAATGCTTTTGTCTTTATCGATACCGTATCATGTCTTCCATGTATTCATAGCTTGACCCTGACGATTTCCTCCCTCTGCATCTCCCTCTCCCTCTCCCCTCTCTCTCCCTCTCCCTCTCCCTCTCTCGCCCCCTCCCGCTCCCTCCCCCTCTCCCTCCTCTCATACTGACATGCAGCGCAGGCGATATGCTGGCCGTCGAGAAGATCACCCACTACTTCCGCCCTTACCAGCGGGACGACGTCGTCGTGTTCCGCGCTCCTCCTGCCTTCGCCGACTACGTGGACGAGAGCAAGGCGAACGAGGATCTGATCAAGAGGATCATTGCGGTTGAGGGAGACACGATCAAGATAACCAAGGGGAAGGTGTACATCAACGAGCAGGAGGTGAAGGAGCCTTTCATCAACGGCCCTCCCAACTACGACTTCGGCCCCGTCACTGTGCCCGCTGGCTGCGTCCTGGTGCTGGGTGAGAAGAGGGGAAGTGGAGGAAGAGGAGGAGGGGGAGGAGGAGGAGAGGGTGAGAGGAGGAGGAGGAGGAGAGGTGAGAGGAGGAGGAGGAGGAGAATGCATCGGTGGTAGCGGAGTTGTTCAAGGTCGATGCTGATTTTTCCTGCCGCAGGAGACAACAGGAACGCGAGTTTGGACTCTCATATCTGGGGGTTCCTTCCTAAGGTCTTCCTCCCTCTCCTCCTGTTCTTCCTCCTCCCTGACTCCCTCTCCTCCTGTTCTTCCTCCTCCCTGACTCCCTCTCCTCCCTTCGCTCCTCTCCTCTTTCCTCTCCTCCCCTCTTTCGCTCCTCTCCTCTTTCCTCTCCTCCCATCCTTCGCTCCTCTCCTCTTTCAACTCCCTTCCCTAGTTGTCTCCTGGTTCTCTTCCCATCCCCTCCTCGCTTCTTGTACATCGACGTCCACCCCTTCCTCCTCCTCCCCTGCTCTTCCCCCTTCCTGCTCTCCTTTGCCCCAATCTCCTCTCCCCTCTCCTCCTTCTCATTCTCATCCCTCAACTTTCTCATCTCATTCTGTTGGTGCAGGAGAACATCATTGGACGGGCTGTCTTCAAATATTGGCCGCTCAACAGAGTGTCTCTTGTCCAGTCATGATCCTTTTGTTGTCAAAAACAATCAATCTCTCTGCTCCTCCAATACAACAACACCACTTTCATCGTCGTCGTCGTCGTCCTCCTCCTCCTCCTCCTCATTCTCCACTTCACCTTTCTTCGTCATCCCACCATCCAACATGCAGTCTCAGCACGTTCCTCCTCCTCCTCCCTGTTCCTCCTCTACTTGGCCTGTGGCCGGAACACCTGCACGCGGCCGGAGCCCTGGAGGGAGGGCCCGCCGAGGAGGTCGAGGCAGTAGGGAATGGCGGGGAAGACAGCGTCGAGGCAGGTGCGGATGGCGTTGGGCTTGCCGGGGAGGTTGAGAACGAGCGTCTTGCCGATGGAAGCTGCGAGCTGCCTGCGAGAGAGAGTGAGGGGAGGAGGGCAAGAGGAGAGGAGGGAAGGGAAAGGTGGGGGAGGAGAGAAGGGGAGGAGGAGAAGAAGGAGGAGAGGGGAGGGGAGGGGAGCAGTGACAAGAACGGAGGGAGGAGGGACGGAAGAGTTTCATGTGTTTCACCTTGAGAGGATCGCTGTAGGAACTCCCTCCTCCAGGCTTCTCCTCCTCATCAGCTCGCCAAAGCCTTCAAGCCTCAATCAACAGCTCCACTTTCCCGCCCCTCTCATCCTCTCTCCCTCCTCTCCCCTGTTCCCCTCCGGATTCTCTCCTCCCCTCACTTTATTTTGTCGCCTTCCCCAATTACTAGCTCCCTTCCCGCCTTCCTCCCCTCCTTCAACTCTTCTCCTCTCCTTCCCAGCCCTCCTGCTCTTATCTCCTCCCCTCCTCCCCTCCTCCCCTCCTGTCTCTCTCTCACCATCGTAAACCTTGTCGCACACTTTCATCATCGCCTGCATCATCTGTTATAGGCCTCCTCCTCCCCCCTCCCCCCTCCTCACTCCCTTCCTCCTCCCTCTCTTCATCCTCTTCCTCGTTCTCTCCCCGCCCACTCCCTCGCCCTTTCCTTCTCCTCGTCCTTCTCCTCGTCTCACCTCTGGCGTCACATCGCGTATCGCTGGTCCAGTTCCTCCAGTTGAGCAGACCAGAGCGCATCCTGCGAGATGTATGAGCCGAGGGAGGAGCATTAGAACGACGAGGAGTAGGAGGAGAGGCGAGGAGGAGAAGGAGGAGGAGGAGAAGGAAGGGGGGAGGGGGGGGAGGAGTGGGAAAAAGGAGCGGGAGGAAGAGGGGGGTGGGGGGGGTAAAGGACAAGACCTGCCAGTGCAAAGTCTCGGATTGCATTCGCAATCAAATCGACTTCGTCTGGAACCATGCTGGAAGGAGAGGAGGGGAGAGGTCAAACATGGCTCTGTCGAGCATACGACACAAACGCTTCCCATTTCTCCCCTTCTCACGTCCCTCCTCCTTTCTTCTCACGTCCCTCCTCCTTTCTTCTCACGTCCATCCTCCTTTCTTCTCACGTCCCTCCTCCTTTCTTCCTCTCTCCTTCTACCGCTTTCCTCCGTTCCCAGTCAGCTTACCGACAGACAAACTCACAGTCAGTAGCGAGATATTCCCTCATGACCTGAAAGTTGAAATGTAAAACTCACACGCAGACGAAGAGGAGGAGGAGGGGGGGAGAGATGAGGGAGGAGGGA